GAAAGAGAGAGGATTTATGTTGATGCACCAAATCGGCTCAGTCCGGACAATGATCTGATTGAGTCCTATGTTGGACAGCTCCAGAGCTTGGATATGATCTCACAATGGAAGAAAAGGGAGACATTTTGGATTCTTGGTATTAATTTTGAAAGACAGGGAGACAATGTGGAATTGACTCAAAAGGGGCTCATCAACAAGGTTATTGAATACACTGGCATGTCTGAAGCCAGCTCTAAGCTTTCTCCTGCTGCCACCGACCCGCTCGGCGCTGACAAACTGGGCCCCATTTGAGAAGAGTGGAGCTATCCAGCTGTCAGTTGGGATGCTGCTTACATTGCATCCAACACTCGCCCAGACATCACCTTTAGTGTACATCAGGTAGCACGATTCAGCACAACCCCAGGCATTCCCATGCTCAAGCCATCAAACGAATCATTCGTACTTGATTGGCACAAGTGACAAGGCATTTGTTTTAGCCCTAAGCTTGATCAAGGACTTGATTGTTGGGTGGATGCTGACTTCGCGGGGTTGTATGGATATGAGGATGATCAGGATCCTGTATCCGTCAAGTCTCGCACTGGTTTTGTTTCGACTTTGTTTGGGTGCCCTATCATTTGGTCCAGCAAGCTACAGACTGACATTACTTTGAGCTCCACTGCTGCTGAGTATGTTGCCTTCAGCATGTCAATGAGGGAGCTGCTTCCTATGCGAGCCTTGCTCAAAGAAATTGGTAACAAACTGAATATGCCGGTAATTACTGACAGTCTCGTGCGCTCTACAGTGTTCGAAGACAACCAAGGTTGCCTGTCTCTTGTGAATGTTCCCAAGATGTCAGCCCGCAACAAGTATTTGGCATTAAAGTACCACTTCTTTAGGTCAAATATCGGGGAGTCGAAGGGCATCGTGGCCAAGTACATTCCGACTCTGGAACAACGGGCCGACATTTTCACTAAGGGTCTTCCGGCTCCACAGTTTGCTGTCATTCGAAAGCTCCTCATGGGGTGGTAATTTACCTCAGCACTTTGCTGGGGACTCTCTCCTATCGTTTCTTGCTACAGCTTCATTTCAGCTGTAAGGGAGTGCGACGGGATACAGCTTACAATTCAGCTTTACAGCTTTACTAGTTGCAGGCTTATTCTAGAAAATAATCAATAACTGCTCACTTATTTGGAAATACAAACTTTACATCTCTTAGATCGTTAGATTAATCAATACACAATGGTATTGTCGCATGGAGCCACGACCAAGTACACCGAAGTAGACACCAGCGAGGCCCCCTTATCCATCATAGGCACCGTCGGATGGCACCCCATATACAGCGGCGAACGGCTGCCCGGGGAATGGTTAGACAAGAGCCGGCAGCTTCCCGCCAAAGCAGTAGAGTCAGCAACCAGTTAACACATTTGGACCGTGATCTGCGATGCCTTGGGGACGTGGTGGCACCAGGTCCACTCGCCTACAGAAACACACATGGTGAGACCAGTCTCCTCGAAGACTCACAAATTCAAGGATCCACTAACAAACAGGGACGATGAGACCGCCGCTACCGCTGAGGAGACCGTGGGCAGTCTGGACGAAGACTATGAATGGAAATACGACGCCCCCGACTTATCCGAAGGAAGCGGCTGGTACCAGGAACGAGTTGAGACTCTGGAAGCGGCTCTGAAGGCCCTACCAATCACGGCCAACCCCAAGCTGGTGTACCAGGAGGGACTTGAAGGGCTAAAGATACACCGAGAAAACTACAACGAAGCGGGACCGAAGTATCTGCAAGTGCTATGGTGGGAATTCCCCCCAGAACACCGAGAGGATGTGAGGTTGGGGTCCAGCATGAGGTTCCTGGTAGACCCAGGGACCGAACTGGCCCCAAATCCGGAGATGACTGAAGAACAGATAGCCGTAGTGGTCAAGTTCATCGATGAGCTCACCGAGCTAGGAATCGTAACGGGAAGCAGAGCATTTCCGCCCTTGATGCGGGTCATGTTAGCGACCAGCTGGCTGTCGATGTCAGCACACTTGCTGACGAACCAAGCCTGAGCGTTGGTGTTGGCGGCAACGACGTCGTCCGAGTACTGAGCACGCTTCATGTTGCACTTGAACAACTTGGAGGATTCTTCACGAGCCTTTCGCTGGAGGGATTGGGCGTTGCGAGCACAGTACGCATCTGCGTCAGCCTTGAGAACCATGTCGTCAAACTCAGACTGGTACACAAGAGACAAGAAGGGGCGAAAACCCTTGAGCGGATCGCGAACGGTGCCGTCAGCATTTCGAAAATCGGTGACTTGGGACAAATGGCCAAGGAACTGAGCTAGAGTACGATTTGGATTTACTTTCAGAAGAGAACATTCAATCCGGTTAGTCGATGCAAGCATACAACCCGTCGGCATTGGCTCCATTGGTTACTTACGTGCCATGGTGATCAAATGAGGGGATGCTTTGCTAAAACGACTTTCGTTTCCTGATCAAAAGGAAGCCTAAGGAGTGTTGAATTTCTCTGGAGAAATTTATGAGCCGACCTCAAATTTCGTCCTCAAGTACTGGCTCGGGGCTACTCTGCCGTTGACCTTCGCTGAGTAAAATTGGTATTCCCGTCTACACAACGAGCAACAACAAGGAGTCAACCGTCAACTCCCACAACCGATGTTGAGAAGGAACCCTCACTGGACAAGTCCCACGTTCACGGATATGTCTACATCCGCTTGTATCAGGTACATTCCCATGTAGACTTGACACAGCGAAAAAATTTCACTCACGCTCGCCGATAGACCGCTACCACATGGTTGATCTCGTAGTTACCTACGGATCGCTACGTGGAAGTGGGGCGAGCCATCGAGACACGATTGCATGTTGCATGACGCCTTAAGTGGCTGACCATACACAGTCGAACTCGGTGACAGAACCAATTCGTTGGCTTCTGTTTCTGTCTGGTGGTAAAAGTGAGGGCATGGGCCCTCCACTATTTACTGCACCCTTGCTGGTTAGAAGATACTTCATCAAGATCTTCCCAAACCAAGGACGCAAGGAAACTACTCATGAGGGGGGATTGGCCTGACTCCAGCAGCAGGAATGCCACCTGCTACTGGATCAGACAGGTTTGTTATGAATGGTGAATATCTAGCAGGGAGGCTTTGCCTCAGTGCCACTCAGTGGACTCCCCCATGATTGTCTTAGACATCTAAGGGAAGGAAATCGAGACAAAAGGCATGAGGTTTGAAGCTCCCTATTAGGTCCCTCCCACTCTGACTGTCACTGGTACCCTGACTCTGCCATATGGTGGATGAGGCGCACAGGAGATATTCCCCCACTATTTTGAGTAGAATAATCTGGTACCTAGTTGTATCTGGTTACAAGGATTGGATTCTGACCCAGGACATGTAAAGCCTATCTAGCTTCCAAGAGATGGAACCCTACTTTATGACTTGAATATTTTTCTATATCTTTTCTAAAATTTAATTCAATGCATCAAATGTGCTATAAAAACTAACACTAATCACTCTCCAATCGTCTTGCACAATAGCTCCTGTTTTGAACAACAAATGTTTACGAGTTAATTTTCTATAGTAATTAACAAATCAGCCTTCTTCACTAGGATGCCTACCTTCATAAATTGTTTTGAGCCATGATTCAGAAACAGCACCAACTATATAGAAATATAGAGACATTCCAGCTAGATTGTTCTAACAAGAACCCATGAATTCAGAGCTGGTTGCAACCTTTTCGACTACCTTTTACGTGCTACCCACTGCGATTGTAACTCAATGCAGAAGCTAACTTCCAGTACACTTCCTTAACTAATTTGATAGTTATACAAAATAAACGTTTGTTTTCAATGATCTCACTTTGTTGAATTATTTTATTTTACTTTAAGCCCTCCAAATTGAAAAATAGATTTTCAATGACTTGACTACCTTATGAATTGAATATTTTTCTATATATTTTCTAAAATTTAATTCAATGCATCAAATGTGCTATAAAAACTAACACTAATCACTCTCCAATCGTCTTGCAAAATAGCCCCTGTTTTGAACAACAAATGTTTATGAGTTAATTTTCTATAGTAATTAACAAATCAGCCTTCTTCACTAGGAAGCCTACCTTCGTAAATTGGTGCGAGCCATGATTCAGAAAAAGCACCAATTATATAGTAATAGAGGGACATTCAAGCCAGATTGTTCTAACAAGAACCGATGAATTCAGAGCAGGTTGCAACCTTTTCGACTAGCTTTTACTTGCTACCAACTGCGATGGTAACTCAATACAGAAGCTAACTTCCATTATTCTTCCTTAAATAATTTGATAGTTATATAAAGCTAGTGAATTAAGTTATCAAAATAAACGTTTGTTTTCAATAATATCACTTTCATGAATTATTCTATTAACTTTAGGCCCTCCAAATAGAAGAATAGATTTTCAATGACTTGATTCCCAATCGTACCACTCCATTCACGCCTTCCTCAGGCCAGCGGCGGACTGCCAATAGGGTCAATAGTCTACATAGAGAGGTAAACATGTATCGGTCTTATGGGGTTTAGTGGGTATCCACAGCCCTCCGGGCTCGGTTCCCATGACTGACCTAGGGATTCAAGTAACCATAGCTCTGAGTTTGTAGTTGCTGAAGTGTAACTTTCTTCAGCCCCAAAGCATGGCACATACCCCCAGCCGGCTAAAAGCCAACCCAACCTTTCATGCACGTCTCATATATACCCCATGCCGGTGCTGAGGAACTTCCACCAGAATCTGACCACATTGCCGAGTGGGCGTAGCGAGGCATCGCTGTGTGGCACATTCGGTGATGGGTCACACTTGTTGCGTTTCCAAACCAAACAGCAATCATCCGCAGCAACAAGTTCCTTGGTCACCCCGAACCAAGTAGTGGATTGTTCATATATGGATCAAAATCAGTGCAATACTGATCTCCATCCACAATGCAATCCTTAATCAAATTTCAATTGCGCCCGGCTATTCTCGGACAGCCATCGTCTCTCAGTAGGCTGCTAGACGGGCAGCCCTGAGGGTGGAAAAAGAAATTCAAAACTCATGGATTCAGATACTGTAGTCTCTGGCCCTAGCAGAGTCATGTATCTCGGATGCATGTGATACCAGGTGCATGGCATCAAAATCACCCGCGTCGACTCTAATCAGACAAAAGACCCCCATCCCTCGAGTCGAAACCCAACGAGAAACACCATGGCCAACAAAGCTGGTTTCATTCACGTATAGTCAGCCAAGTAGGCGTCATTCAACTGTGAGGAGCCACCACGTTGTCCCCTCATGCTGTGTTCAGAGGCAGTGTTGCTTCGCTTGATGGATCGTTCCAGTTGTAAGAAGGGTGACACATGGAGTCTTTAGGGCATCAATATTACTGAATGGCCACTAAAGACAGGAGATGGAGACCAATCTCCATAGCGGGAGGCCTCTGCTCACCCCCCGACAGTTGCCAAACTCTCGACTGCCGACGCAGTCGAGCCAAACTACTGCCGAAGCAGAGTTTAGAACAACCCCCTGTCCAAATTAAAAGGGCTGAGCCAGTAGGTGCACCTGTTGCTGAAGAAGTGTCCTCTTGTCTCAAACCTCCTTCCCTGCGATGTTACTTTAAAATCCAACATTCCAACCATTCAACAAAGGAATGCATCTGGCAACCAGCATGCAATTTCCTCCAACCAACCAATCATCTTCGATCTGTCAGTTCTCTACTATTCTTCAGTCTTCATTCCTGCATGAAGAAGGAATCCAGTCATTCCAATCAGTGGAAGGGGGGCGCGACTACCTTATGATTTGAATATTTTTCTATATTTTTTCTAAAAAGTAATTCAATGCATCAAATGTGCTATAATAACTAACACTAATCACTCTCTAATCATCTTGCATAATAGCTCCTGTTTTGATTACAAATGTTTATGAGTTAATTTTCTATAGTAATTAACAAATTAGCCTTCTTGAGTTAATTTTATATAGTAATTAATAAATCAGCCTTCTTCACTAGGAAGCCTACCTTCATAAATTGTTTGAGCCATGATTCAGCACAGCCTTAACTATATAGAAATAGAGGCACATTCAAGCTCGCATCACCGTTATACATCAACGGCAAGTTGATGTCACGGGAATTAACAATCACGAGATCAATGGTCTCAAGATTGTTGATGGTGCTGCAAAACTCACCACTCAGAATGGTCCTGTCATTGGTATCTTTCGCCAGTATGCTTATCATGGAGTCAACCGCACCATCCATTCTGCCGGCCAGTTCGAACACTACATCTAAGAAGCGCATTTTTAGGTAGCGCGAAAACGGGAGCACCCCTACCATACCATTCCACGTGTTTGGCATAAAAAATCGTGACGTCACTGGTTAAAGCTTTGGTAGTAATTCAGCAGTTTCGGAAGGTGAGGTCATCCAACCGGATCCGACGAGCTCCTGATTTGTAAGGTAGCATGCATGATAACATACAGCCACGACCTTGCCAACCCAGTCGTGCCCTTTCGGTTACTTAGGTATGCGTATGTATTTAGGAGGAAAACTACATACAGAATGCACCAGGACGAGTTTACGGATTGCTAAGTACAATCTCATTTTATAAGATCGAGCCACTCCAGAGCCCAGAAACTGTCAATTGGAACCTCAGAAGCCACATTTTTCACGGTGTCTAGTACATTCTATATGCTAAAAAGTAACGTCTGTAAGCTACCAGTTGATTTGTACCTATCTACAAATGGTTTGGTATCGTTGTGAGTACTGTGATGATTGGTTCAAGAACCAGAGAGCTCTATCAAGTCACATACAAGCCTATCAACCTTGTATTGAGGCACGGAACAGAGTGCTGGCTAACAAGAAGGAGTAGATCCAGGGCAAGGGCTGCAGATCTAGGTGCTACTGACACTGGGAGGCCCGCAAGGGCACCAACATCAACAACACAGGAAGAGGAAGAATCCAGTCAGGACATTCCACAAGAGATGCAAGAGGAAGATGATCCAATGGAATGGGACCCCTTGAATATTGATCGTACTGGTTCTGAAGATGAGGATGAGGACGACGAAGATGAGGATGAAATCGAGGATGATAGAAAACAGGCAGCGGATGCACAAATTGGCAACCAAAGTGACGGTATTAGGGAAGGCAGAGAAGAGGTAGATGCGGAGGACGAGGATCAGGAAGCCACAGACGAGGATTCGGATGAAACTGACAGTGATGAGGAATCCAGTAGCGAAGGATCCGTGGCCACAATCATACAAAACGACAACCAGGACAAGCAAACAAGGATCAAGAGACCTCCTGACAACAGAAATATCAAGCAATTCAGACAGTACTGTGAGAAGAGTCGGCGTAGCAACATCCCACTGAATGCAAAGCAGGCAAGGGGCGTCAGGCTGATGGATATCTTACGAAAGAACAAGACACCTCTGACTGCCTATGATGATA